TCCCTGATCGGCTGGTGGCAGCGCCAACGCGTTCTCGACAAGCATTGGAAGCGCTTGGCTGTCATAAAAATCATAAACCACAAGAAGAACCTTGTTCTCATGACCTAGTTTCCCCCATGCAGTACTGGGTTGATTTTGATCGGGTTTCATTCTTGGATCCCTTAGAAGGGCTGGGCTGTTTCTGGTCTATTCATAACTATAATGCCTCATTGTTAGTAGCGCCTGGCCAGGAGTACAAGATAGAAACCGACGTTGGCCAGGCCCGTGATGCTTGTGTAGCTGCAATGATGAAGCTGACCCAACGGCATGTTCGACAGAACTTCAGACGAGCATCGTCTTACATACCTTAAACCCTAAACCCTACATGGCTTACATTGAAGAGCGGGAAAGTTCTTCTCAGATATGGGTACTGGGTACTGGAAATTGTCGCCGTTCCCCAGGATGAATGCTTATGAAGGGTACTAATGACCCCTGAGTTAGTAGGGACATCCCATAAAGCTGTAGAACCTGGAGCCCTTTAAATCCTGAAATCCCTTTTTGAGCCCTTATCACTTATACTGTAATCCATCATAGTCCTTCCACAGCTTCCTACAATGAAACCATAGGTAGTAGGGGAGGCCCCGAGCCCTAAACCCTAAACCCCAATCCCTAAACCCCAATCCCTAAACCCTAATCCCTAAACCTTAAACCCTAAACTCAAACCCTAAACCCTAAACCCTTAAACCCCAATCCCTTAAACCCCAATCCCTTAAACCCTAATCCCTAATTTCAGGGAGGCCAGGAGTCTCTGCATCTTGATTTTTTTTGCTGATTTTGAGGAATCTTTTAGGGGGCCCGTAGTTGGGAACCCATAGTAGGGACTCCCTGAGACTTCGCTAAGGTTTAGGGTTTAGAGGTTTAGGGGTTTTTGGGTTTAGTGTTTTTAGGGTTTAGGGGTTTAGGGTTTAGGGTGGAGGCTTGCAAAGCACTCGAATCCTAGCCCAAAGGACGGGGACGCAGATCTGGCTAGAGGGGCCGCGGCAAAGGTTTGTCGGATATAGGCTCAAAATCTCTTGACCCTGCAACCTGTGAACCACTTTATACGCACAGTGTCCTTCTAATTTCCCATTTTCTTTTCCATTTGATTCTCCGCTATTGGGGTAATGTATCTTCAAACCCTCAAACCCTAGAAACCCTACATGTGAATCCTACATAACTCTGAAAGATAAGTTCGTTAACTCCAAGCCCACAATCCCCAAACCCAAGCCCTAAACCCTAAATCTTAAGCCCCAAATCCCCAGAATACCAAACGGAAGCTTCACGGCAGACCTGGAGACTGACGCCGGAACCTGACAATGTCCTGGCAACATAAGCTTTAGCTGTAAACCCAAGCACCAGGGTGTTGAGTGAGCCCTTTGCTCCTAAGTTCTTTACCAAATAGGCTCTATTAAGAAAAGGGGAGCTTTTCAGTCAAAGGTTACTGGGGATCCTAGTTGCCTAGAGTTTCATGGGTAATGCCGACGAAGTTTTGAGAGCCCCTAATACTGTATAAGCCCTATTACAAGCTGTTGCTGGGTGGGGGTAGTATCCAACATACTTTACGCACGAGACACAGCGAATTATATCCCAAAACCTCAACACCAAATATCGAAGCTCCTAAGTACCTCAACCCTCAAGCCCTTACAGTACCCCTTAAGTAGATAGAATATGGGGTATATGGAGATCTTATTATCATGTATCCAAAGCCATATTCTATCTACTTAAGGGGGATTATAGATCTTACATCCTCTTCAACCCCTACCCGAAGCTTCGGAAGGCTGGTTTCGAAATTCCCGCACCTTCAAATAAGGCCTAACTCAGAAGCCTTTAATTCCTTGATCTCAAAACACTAAAGTCTGAACTCTAGAAATTTGCGCGTTATACCCCAAAACCTAAGCTCTAAACCCAGCCTACTACGCCAAATCCTCATATTCAACAAATGCACAACAACCGGGAAAGCGGCTATGCAATCACTAAAGACTTTGGGGGAAGTTTCAAACACATACTGAAAAGAACCCTAAACCCTAAACCCCCTGTGTCAGGAGGCGCAGATGCTGGCAACCTACATGGGCTTTGCGCTTGGCACCCTCAGCTCAGGCAACGAAGTCCAGGGAGTCATAGATTCTTAAGTAAGCTTCGGTTCTTTCGATCTGTAAGGGTTCAGGGATTCAGGTCTGAGGGTTCATGGACTTCATGTTGTGGGAGTTTAGGGACTGAGGTGTAAGGGTTTTGGTCATTTTAGGTGTGAGAGCTTAAGGAGGTAGGGCTCCAGAAGTTTCGGGATTTCGGTGTGAAAGCTATGGGGGTCATTTCCACTTCGGGTTTGAGGCTTTAGGGGTTTAGCGTGTGGGGTTCACGGATTTAGGGGTGGGGGGTGTAGGGGTTTAGGGGCCTAGTGGTAAAGGGGTTGGGGATTTAGGTCGTAGGGATTTTGGCATGCAGGCTTCCGCGATCTAGGGATTCAGGCCTGTAGGGTTGGGGATGTAAGGTTTAGGGACAGAGGGTATTCAGGATTTAGTGTTGCGGATTGAGGCCTCTGGGCCTCAGGGATTGAGAAAGGTTCAGGTTGAAGGGTTTGGTGAGGCTTGCCATCCCCATGTAGCTATATAGCATAGAGTTTAGGGTATAAGGTTTAGGGTTTAGGTTGGGTATATAGTAAATACTTACCGTCATTAAATGGCTGGGGGTTTAGGAGGGGTATGGAGGGGTGAATAGGGATCAGAGTCAGCTAGGGTTGTTTGAGGTAAAATGTTTCGCTTAGACTGTTTTGGCGAGTGTGCATGGGCTTCCGAAGCAACCTTCGTCACTGTCTCCAAATTGGGTCTTCTTTTGGGAGCCGTCGCCTTTTTGGTAAGCTGTGTTAGACGGAGTGCAGCCTTCATGCGACCCGTTGTCAGGTTCCCTGTTGTTTGAGGAAGTGTAGGACTGAATAAGGCCGTCTTCATCATGTTCTGGGGTGGTCTCTACTATGAGGATCCCAAGTTTCGTTTAAGTATACGAGGGGCCTTTGGTGTTGAGAGAATCGACATTCAGGGGTTTCAAGCTGTAGGCATTCGGGCTTGGAGGTTGTAGATTTGAAGGACATGTTTTCAGCGCTTCCAACGTGTAAGGAGCATGCTGCTTTCAAGAGTCATATTGGGGTTTGGACAAATAGGGGTTCCTACAAGAGAATCGGTCTTTTTCTGAGCCCCCGAATAAGGGACCCCGTCTTTTTTGAAAGAGCCGTGCAGCACAAGCTTCCGACCCTTTGGCCAACCACCGAAAAGTCATGAGCTCCAAGCCTCAAATCTGATGCGTGAAGCCCCTTCCTGTGGGAATTAGGGGTTGCTTTTTTGGGGGTTTTCTATGTCACTAGTAAGGGTTCTAGTGCTCAGGGGTATCTCATGAAGATCCCTAAGTTTGGAAACTACCATAGACCCAATTCCTTAGAGCCAGCGATATTCCTTGCACGCAGGCCCCTTGAAGGATCTTGAAAGTAGAGCCCTCAATCTGGCAATTACTTTTTCTGTGATGAATAGCAGGAGTCCTCCAGGGGGATCTTCCTTTTGGATCCTCAGCTCTAAGCCCTTAACCTGAAGCCCTCAACCCTAAACCCCCAGCCCTCAACCCTAAACCCCCAGCCCTAAACCCTAAAACCCCAGCCCTAAACCCTAAACCCTGAACCCTAAACCCTAATCTGTGAAGGCTCTGCAGGCGACCTTTTCGGTCGTCGTTTACCGGTGCTTCTGGCTTACTGTGGGATGCTTTTATCAGCGCTGGGCTCCTTGATCCAGGGTTTAGAGTTTAAGGTTCAGGGTTTAGGGTTCAGTGTTTAGGGTTCAGGGCTTAGGGTGTCGAGTTCAAGATTTAGGGTTCAGGATTTGGGGTGTAGGGTCTTCGGTAAACGTAGAAGCTAGTAGGGAATGGTTTCCAATATGGAGGTTCTTTCATGGGGGTTTATAGGGGATACTCCGGATACCAAGATATAGGGCTACGATCCATACTGGAAAAGAAGATGGAATGAAACGGAAGCTGGGAGTATGTAGTGGTTCATCCCACCCTGAACCCTAAACCCGAATGCTTACCAGTATTGTGGTCTCAGATTCCTTGTATAATCCCTAAAGGGTCCAAGGACCCAAATAATGGGGTTTTAGGGCCCAAATACTATACTATTATGGTATTTGGGCCCTAAAACCCTATTATTTTGGTCCTTGGACCCTTAGGGAATTATGGTACCGGGCTACTTGAAATAGACGTCAACATGATGTTGGGAATGATTCACGAAACCTGGAGCAGGGTTAACGGGGTGTCGGCTGTAGGGCGAATTCAGGACGTGGGGATTTAGGTTTGAGGGTTTAGGGCCAACGGTTCCGGGATTTAGAGTGAAATTCGGAATTCAGGGTCTAGGACTCCGGACTCGGGTTTAGGGTGGCTTGGGTTTTGGGATGCAAGCTGATAGTCAAGGAGCCAACATCTGGATTCCTGAAACTATGGATTACCTAGCCACCCCCTCTATAGTACCCCTTCCCAAGGATGCCACTGAATCACTTCATTTAGTGATAACCAACCCTGAACCCTAAACCTGAAATAAAGGGGAACCTGACCCAGCTCTTGGGGGGTGCAGGGTGTCGGGGTTTGGGGGTGTTAGGGTTTTAGGGTTCTTGGTCTTGAGGGCTTGAGGGTTTGGGGGTTCAGGGTTTAGGGGTTCCGGTGTTTAGGGTTTGAGGGTTTAGGTTTTAGGGCTTAGTGGATTTCACCCAAACCCTGAACCATAAATCCCAAAGTTTTTTGCACCTGCAAAGTACTTATTGCAATCTGGGCTATAAACCCTTATGTAAAACCCTACTTCCATGGCATGCTCAATTCGCATTATTGATCTTCCATTATTGCTCTTATCACTAAGCCCAATACATCCCTGTAAACGCCGTGAAAACTCCTTAAGGGGACTCGAGAACATTACTTAAGTCTTTATTCCTAACCCGTGCTGGTCAGTAAGCCGCGGTGCGGCAGGCAAACTAGCACTCCCTTCCTAAAACCTCAGCCCTAAACTCTAAACCCAGTTGGGTCTAGGGTCGAGGGTTTAGGGTCATGAATTCTCCTAAATCCCCTCCCCTGATGCCCATTTAGACAACTGTCCTTGGAATAGAGGCCACGTGGGGTTCCATGTCGTTTCACGGAAGGGTAAATGTTTCTCGCAAAATCCCGGTCCCCGTACACCCGACAGACGATGTGGTCCTTGCCTACCTTCGCAAGGCATTCCAGAGGGCAGAGGGGATATGCACTTTTTGGAATTGCATGACTGCGCCGCCCGAAATCAGTGTATTACTCGGAGGTGATTACCCCACTGGTAGCTAGGCATCAACGTGCATAGTCAGTAATTACTTGTGGTTGTAACCCCATCCCTAAACTCTGAAGTGGATGTTTCAACATCCTTTTCATGGGGATTACGAGGCTTTCTTAGTATATGGATTTCCCCAGTAGGGCTTAAGGTTCAGGATGTACGCTCTGTTGACATTACTGGGCTTCCCCCAGCGCCTCTTCTGGTTGCCTGGAATAGATGCATATTAGGAACGTGTTAGTGCAACTTGTGTTCAATGTTGGGTTTGGATCCTGCCCTAATCCAAACCAACATGGAAGCCCATAAAGCACGCCGCATAGTCACACAGGGCCCCTTTCAGGAGTGCATGTTAGCTCGGGGAAGTATGTGCTGCAAGGCCTGAGCCCTACAAATCCTTCCGAAATACAATTTATACCCCTACACAATCCGATGGAAGGCCTTCAGTGGGAATCAATACTATTTTGGGAAAGGAGGGACTGCAGACCCCAGACCCTAAAGCCTCATGTTGAATTCAATGCGCACCAATTTGGACTAGCGATCGCAGAAGAAGAAGACTCTAAAGCCTAAACCTTAACCCTAAAGCCTAAACTCCAAAGCCTCAATCCGTAACCCTAAACACATCCCAGGTTTGTTCCTTACGAGCAGCTACGAGGCTCTCTGCATTGGTTTCAGCGCCACGAATCTGCAGCAGAAGTGGAGTTAGGATTGGAGGGTTTAGGGGTTTCAGGGTTGAAGGGTTCAGGAGTTTAGGGTTCTTGGGGTTCAGTGCTTAGGGTTTGGGGGCGTTAGGATTTAAGAGTTTAAGGGTTATAGGGTTTGGGTTAAGGCCTTGGGTTGAGGGGTTCAAGGGTGGAGGGGTTAAGGGTGCGCGGACTTTCGGCCTCGATCGCAGGGAATGATACTGGAGAGTCACATTGAAAAGACATCTGACAAGAAATCAAGACAGGTTTGCAGTTTTTGCAGCGCTTAGGGGTTACTTGCTTAATGCTACTCGGGAATGAAAGACTGGACAAAAGGAAACGTTGTATTGTAGGGGGCTTGTAGGGACTGATTTGGAGGTTTCAGGCTTTGAGATTCATGGGCTTTACAGTCTTGTTGATTAGGGTCAGCTCGAGGTTTTGTGTTCTGAGGGTTAGGCTTCAAGTTTGCGCATTGCAATGTTTGGGCCAGGGTGTCCTGCGCAAAGCGCAGAACCTAGAAGGCGGGACGCCCTACTCAAACCCAAGGCCCAAAACCTTAAACCGCAAACCTGAAGCCCCAAACCCTAAAACCCAAACCCTAAATCCCGAACCCAAGCCTTAAATCCCAAACCCTCAACCCTAGAATGTGAAGCGCCGAAAGACGTAGTGAAGGACTCCCAGGCCTGAAAAAACAGCACGAGAGTAGTATTTTTTTGAGTGATACTATGGTGCCCAATATAGAGTAAGATTATATCCTCCTTTTGGGGTATAGTATTTTATATAAGGAATATTATCTTATTAGGTTCAACCACCAAAAAAACACGACTCACGGGGTGTTTTGCAGAGCTTCAGTCTCCCAAAACAAGATCCCGCCCAGCTCCGGTTTGGGTTTGATGCATCAGGGGGATAATGGAAAATAAAATGGAAACTACTATTTAGGGTTTAGGGTTTAGGACAAAGGGTTTGGGGGGTTCAGGATTTTGGGTTCAGGGCTTAGGGTGTAGGGCAGCAAGTACTGGTTCATGCAGAAGCCTGAAGAATTAGCAATATTATCCCCCAAGAATCCTGGTATATATTCGCAGGATGGCCCCCTTCCCTACCCTAAACTCCTCAACCCTAGACCCTAAATTGCGGAACAAAAAAACCTTAAACCCACAGCTGAACCCCAAACCCTAAGCCCTCAACCCTAAATTGAACGCAAAAAAAGAAAAGTCTGCAAGATGCCACTCCGGGAAATGAACCCCAAATGTGGGTTTCCAAGAGTAAGGCCCCCCGTAAAAGGTGTACCGGGCTTTTTTAGAGATATGTAGGGACATGTAGGGCGTTGTAGGGAGATAGGGTTTCCCAAAATTAGGGGTCCTTCTCGGGGTGCTGGCTAAGGATTGTAGTATAAGCTGGTGTATATATGTGTCACTAATGCCCAAAGCCCTTCACCCTCAGCCCAAAGCCCCAAGCATTTTCCAACTCGACAAGACGATTTTGGCAATCCCAGCCGCAGCAAATTAGGACCCTGTAATGAAAATTCGACCGTATAATTTTCACAGGGTCGTAATTCTGGGGTTAGACCAAAATCATATCCTCTTGCTATTGAAACGTACAAACCCTTACCTCAAGCCAATTTCCTTTCTCTTGTTCATTCTCTATTCCTAACATGATTCTGCTGTTCTCTCCAACACTAAGCTCTAAGCCCGGAAGCCTTAACCTCACACCCTAAATCCTAAACCTAAACCCGGAACCCTAAA